TATCAAAAGTAAAAGGAGAGACATTTGAAGTTTAAACAGTTGATAATAGAAATAGAAATGGAGTAAGTTATATTTATTCATTTAGTTAGTCTATTGCTAAAGGAAGAGTAGAAACTGTTGATGTTATTACACTTACAATGGTTGATGATGATATGATAGCATTGGAAAATTAAATCTTTTCTGTAAGGAAAGATGAAAATCAAAGAAAATATGGCTACAGCTACAAAATTTACATAAGACTTGTTACCTAAAGATGCTAAGTTTTGAGTAAGAATTGTTATATAAATATATAAATATAAATAAATAAATGTATGAAAGTCGAAACAATTCAGTCCCAAGATCATTATAATAATTGCAATTCTTGAAACAATATCATATCATGGATATTACAAATGATTAACAATAGATTGCAAATTATCTTGATATTTTAAATTAGGAAACCGATGTATATTATTTATATGATTCTTTCCATTCTCTATTAAATTCAGTTAAACAAGCTGAAGAAGCAAAGATAACTAATAAACCAAGATAAAATACAATTGATTGGTGGAAATTAACAAATCAATCATATAGTTGGGCAGGTTTGAAAAATATCAAAGGGATTTCAAACACCCCTTCTAAAATTAGAGTAACTAATGATAGTAATCATACCAGATAGATTGGATAGGTTGAATTGTAAGTTTTTAGTGAAAAGGATCTCGAAAATAATAAAAAAGATAGAACTTTGTTAAGTGTATATTAACTGTAAAATAAGTATTATAAATGCCATATGGGATTTTGTTAATTTTAGAAATTGGAAGGGTAAGTAGTAAACATTAATAAATTATATATAGCTAAATGGTATAGAAAAGTAGGTAATTATTTTGAGTTGATATAAGAATTTATAAAATATATCTTGACTGTTTTTTAGGCACAAAGAGTAAAGATAAAGATAAACTCTAGTTAAGGATCCTAAATTAAATATCTCCAATAATTAGGATTTAAATTATCCTAAACTATTCCATTAATAAATGATCTAAAAATATTTACTTTAATTTTAGAAAAATAATGATTCACTGTATATATCATTAAATTATTATATATGATGATATATTACCAAAGTAAATATATTAGTATTCTAAAAATAAACAATTAAAAATATGTCATTTGATTTGTGTATCAGGATTAGGTTTATTTTTTATAAGCTTGTTTTCTAACTTGACTGAAAAAGTCGAACATCGCATTACTAGCTTAATCTGTCTCTTTTTCTGGTTATCCTTATTATGTAGGAACATTGACTGATTTTTTGTTTTATTTTCTTACTTTTTTAGGTGCATCTTAAGTATCACCTTGATTGCCTTGTTCAGCTAAAATAATGATATAAAATGATTACCTTAAGTAACTTAATTCTATGAAGATTGTTATTATTATCTGGAAGCTTTTGGCCTACCACCACCACCACCACCTCTACGATTTGCACCTTTTTCTCTTTAAATAACAACAATAGTAGTTTTTTTATGATAATTATCTTCATAATTGATAGGTATCATATTTTTAAAATCTTAATATGATTTAGCATAGATAGAATCTAATTCAGAAGTATCTGGTTTAAATCTAAGATTGGCATCAAGAAATTATTGATCAACTTCTTCATCTTCTTAATCTTAATCATATTAATCATATCCAGAAACAATTTAATAATACATACCTTCTTTAAGATATAGTTTAGGATTAAGATGAAACAATCTAAAGCAAGGATAAATACAAAGAAATATATTAGTACCAAGAACTTTATTACAACCAAGACATGAAGCTGTAGTTTTAGATAGAATACTTTTACTTAAACAAACTTAGCATCTTGCATTTCCATTATGAATAGGACAATGATATAATTGATCATTAACAATACCAACAGTTTAATCAGTTTAACAAGATCTATCTACTTATAGTGAACCATCTTTTCTTAATAAAGGTTTTGGATTTTTATAATCAATTAATTTATTAATTAATTAAAGAGCAAGTTCAGTTCTAAAAGTTTTAATTTCTTATTTTTTAAGTATTCTTATATTATGTAATATTGATTCTATTACAAAAATAAATATTATTTTAGAAGTTGAATTAATAGAAGTATTTTCAGGTTCTGAAGGTTGAATAGCTATTTTCTCTTCCGTAAATTACATTTATGATAATTCTTATAAGTATTGATTTTTTAATTATAAAGATTATAATGATACACAAGTTGTCCATTATTAATTTTTGTAACATAAATAAATAGGTTCTTTGCTTTTAGAACAATAGAATATTTATTAATCTCCAGTAGGTGGATGAGGTAATAAAGAATGTTACATAAGATCAGTACAAACAAATATTTTTTGTTAATATAATTGTAATACTGATTCAGCATTAAGTAATCCTTAACTATAAACAATATGTCTACCTAAATGATAAGGTTCAAACATCATTCTTAATCTTTTTTATAAATCTCTATGATTATTAAGATCTAATGTTTTATTAATAGGTGTAGCCCAAAAGAATTATTACAATATAATACCAGATTCTTTATCGATTAATTGATACCATTATATTTTAGTAGAATAGATGAGAGTATAAAAATTAGAGATTAAGAATAATTCTTATCCTGGTAATATTAGTTTTTTGAATCTATCATTTAATTCTTAAGTAAATTAAGGAAGATATTCTTATCTAAAAAATGTTTGTGCATTGAATTCTAATTTAACAGCTAATTATGATTCAGTCTATAATTTTGGTTAAATGATTTCTACTTTTTAATCAATATCATCAAATTATTATTAAGTGATTATTGATTTAATTCCACCGCCTGCTATCCAATCTTCTCCATAAAAATATTCATTAATATCAGGTAATCTCATGTATCCCATTATTAATTTAGTACCTAGATATAACCAGAATTCAGATTCACTAGTTTAACATGTTTTCATAAGATCTTTGAATCTACTTTCTCCAAATAATAATCTTATCATATCTTATGGATTATCTTTGTATTCTAACATTCTAAATTAACCAGAAAATTTTGGAGTTATCATATTATTTAATTAATTAAATAAACTCCAATCTTAATAATCAATATCTTATACAATTCCATCATCTTCTTATACTATTTCTTCTAATAATGCTTAATGTTTTCTCTACTGTTAATTTAATGGTTTTGTTTAAACTTAATTAGTAGTAGTGATAGGTTATTATAATAATTAAGTAATCTTTTGTTATTTATCTATTTGATTTGATTAGAAATTATCATTCTCTCCAATCTCTATAGGTACTTAATTTTCAACAGGCTTTTTTCTAAAGAAAGAGGATGGTGTTGTATCTTCTATCTTTTATTTTAATATACTGATATTTGAAGGAGGTAGTTATTCATCATCAGAATCAATTAAAATTGGATTCTTATTCTTCTTTTAATATTAATTACTAATGTTTGTTGTTGATACTGGTTATGTAAATGAGAAAAAGTCTTTCTATTATTTCTTTATTGTACATTCAGGTTTTAATATTTATTCTGGTTTTAATATTTAGTCTAAAATAGAAGATTTCTCTTCAACATTTTGATGTTCAAATGGTTTCTATTATTCAACTTATGATAATTCAGAAGATCTTTGAGAAGGTGGAGGTAAAACTACTTCTTACTTTTCTGAATCATTTTATGATACTACTAATGCATCCTCTAATGGAATATTGTTTTTCTCATTCTTTATTGTCTTTTTAGGAGTACTCTCATTATCATCTTAATTTATATCATCATCAATTATTATTGATGTTTATCTTTATTTCTTATAAAGTAATTTACAATCTGCTTCTTAACTTTTTTTATCTTCATCGTTACTCTCTAATCCAGCCAATATTACTTAAGAATTTACATCTTATCTAGGAATCATTATTAAACTATCCTTTTATTCATCTTATTTATCTTCATTCCTTTCCCCATTTTATTTATTATCTTAACCTTATAAGTGATCTTCTTACATTAATAACTATATTATATGATCATTCTTGTTTTATTATTATTCATTATTACTCACAGTATCAATATTTACATTTTAACTTATTTGATTTTACCCAATCGTTTATCCTTATTAATTTACTAATTCATTTAGAAATTGAGACTCAAGTTGAGGTTAATTTGATGTTATTTCTGACATTATGTATAATATAAATCAATAAAAAGAAGTCTGCTTTATATTGAGCTTTTATGAAAATTATTTCCTGGATTTTTATTATTATTTGGATCAATTTATCCTTCCTAATCATATACCAAATTTATTAAACTATTATTTAAGATCAATATCTCCATTCATTATTAATTTATTATTATTATTATTATTACATCTACTCATATCCTCTCTCAATCATAAAATACATACAACCAAAATTTATAGATTTGGATTAATAAAATTTATAATCTACATTAAGATGCATTAATTAATCATTAGCAAATTAAATCAATAACTATCGATCAATTTTTTAATTTTATGCATATAATTATAAATACCATTCATTAAGATGTTATGGAAAGAAATAATAGTATTCTATTTATCTTAATAGTTTTAGACCATAGTACAAATGAACTTAATTAGAGATCCATTAAATTCCATATCAGTTATATTATCTAATTCATATTCCATTTGCACATTCTAAATTGTTAACTATTAATATATAGGTAACTGAGATGTCTCTATTGATTATATACATTCTCTGATCAAACTTATATATGTTCTTATATTATTTATTATCTCTCTTAATTAATTAACAAAAAGATTTAAAAATTTATTTTAAATATAATGCCAAAGGGATAGACCACTACAACCTAAAAAGCTTAAAAAGCAGCAAAAAATACCAGAGTTGCCAAAAAAGTAGTCAGAGCCAGAAAACATTTCTAAAATAGATTCCATACAACTAAACCATTAGCATTAACAAGAAAACCTAAATTCACCAGATTAACTAGATAATTAAAACCAATCACAAAAGGTTTAGATTTCTAAAATGTCCTTAAACATCCACTAATTACAGAAAAAGATATGAAAAAAATGGAAGATGAAAACACTATGGTTTTCTATGTTAATCAAAAAGCTACTAAGCCATAAATCAAAAGAGCATTCTCTAAAATTTATGATGCCAAAGTTAGAAAAGTCAATGTATACTCTCTTTGCTTATCATTAGATTTTAAATACATTTGGTGGAAAGAAGAAGGCATATATTAGATTGGGTGGAGAAAATGATGCACTTAATTTAGCCAACAAAATCGGTATCATCTGAGTGACAATTATATTACACAGTAAAATATATATATATATATTCAAATTTATCCAATATATTTTTATCTATTTATTTTATATGAACTCATCCATTAGAAACATGTACACCTTTAAAAAGAAACCAAAAAGTTTTAATAAAACTTTTGCTACTACATATATTAAATCACTCCTTTCCAATAATCAAATACTTTCTACTCCAATTCCTCATTTAAGAACTGAAGAATTAATTAATGACAACACTAAAATCGATGAATCCTTAAATTTAAAACAATTTATTGATGATTCCTCATTGAATTCCTCTCATATCATACAAATTAATCATAAAATAAAAAAAAGAGCCATTTTACAATCTGACAATTATCGTCTAATCTATAGACCCAACTCTAAATCTTAAGTTATTCCATGTCGAGTATCATTAAGAAAATTTCAAATGAATCAATAAGATCTCAAATTTATGGAAGAATTTGAGAATCTCAAATCCGAATTGTAATTTAAGTAACCTGAAGAAATAGATTTTCTTATTCCATTCAATGAATTTTATCAAAAAATAAATGAAATTGTATTGAATAAACTATGAAGTTGTTATCATATTTATCACTATAAGCTACTATTTTAAAAATTGCGGCTTTTTTAGAATTAGTTTTTTTATTAATAAATTATAATGACATTTTGTCTCGTTTATTTAGAATCAGAAAGAATGCCAGGTTTCCTGCCTTAATCTCCAAAACTTATAATTCTTTCTTGTCTCATCTTTTGGATCATCAATATACTCACTATTATTGTTGAAGAGTCTTACTATATAGATTTAGATTCACTCATATTTTTCATCTATAATGAGAAAAAGGGAATATTTTGTTATGAAACTTTAGCAGCAGTTTTTATGTAATTTTAGGATTTAGCTAATATTTTTTAGTTTAAGTAAATAATTGTAATAAAGAGTTTAGAAAATACTTAGAGATTGTACTGTTTAAATAACTCAGAAGAATAATTGACTCTTTAAAAAACTGGATAATTGACGATGAAAATTCCATAATGAACTTTTATTATTTATAAAATAAACAACAACAGTTATTAGATTGAAGTCTGCCTTATCATTTAATATAATATTGTTGACCTAATTATTTTCATTTTTCCTTATATATTTTTATTATAATCTCTATATGAAATTTGCTAATAAATTTATATTCGATTAATATTTTTGCTAAATATTATGGAAATAATACATTCTATGAAGCATTCATGAATTTTTTAACAAACACAACTGAGATATACATATTTTCATTAAAATTGTCTCTAATTATGTCATCAATCATAGGAATTCTTCTTGTTTATGATTT